TCAGGCACACTCTTCTCCCATCACAGTGTGAAGCTCTGTAGTCATGCCTGACCTGGCATGGGGTTTCTGGAGGCAGAGATGCAGCATAGAAATTATTTTTCCTAAAAACTGTGCTTGACCAAAATCACTGAATAGTGCTGAATAGTGCTGGGTGGGGAGACGGTGCATGCTGTGAGAGCTGAGTGTAAATGTTAGATAAGCTGCTTTAAAAGGTGATTATGTTTCTTATTTTTAGTCAAGTGCTGTAACTGACTAGTACTTCTGGGTATAAGTAGCTGGTGGTGGTATAAACAATGAATTTAAAAAGGATTTCACTCAACAAGGTCGATGGTAATGTAATAGCTTTTGAATTTGTAAGGGTTTGTATTAATCAGTGTTGAGCAAAGAGCGTTCCGGGTTATGAGTTTCATTGTCCATGTCTTCAGTGAGTGGCTGTTGAGAGTCAAAGTACACTTCTCCCTTTCAGGTGCACTCACTGCACAGCTCTGCTGTATTCTCTTGCATAAATGTTACAGAACCTCAGTAAACTTTGCATAAGAAAATGCCTTTCTATGACCTGTGAGAGAGCCAAGGGAGTTAACCTAAGGACCTGAGCTCAGAGCTTGTCTATCAAGTCTGACCAAAATAAAGTTAAAAAACTCTGTGTGTGCAGTATCCAATTTTTGCAGTGGTGCCTTTTGCTGCCCTTCTAAACTTCTTGCCAAGTTCCATTTTCAGCTGATATTCCTTGATTTCACCTTCTCCTGTTCCAGTTTGTCTAGTCCTAGAGGGTGAAGAACTATTTAAGAATCACAGAAGCAGGACAGAGGTACTAAAAGCTTCAGCACAAACTAGACTCAGCTTTTAATTTCGTATGGATTCATGCTCTGGTCTGTATCAAATGCTTTTTGAATGGTAGTAAATGGAATGGAAAAAGTACAGTCTTGCTGGAGTCAGTGATCTGGCAGGAGGGTGGAGCAGAGCAAAAGGCTGGAGCTGCTCTGGGAGCTGTGGGATTTACCAGTCTGTGTTCAGGTGAGGATGGTTTGCAGGCACAGCCAAGAACTGGCATCTTGTGCAACTGGAGAAATTGCTCAATTCAGCACTTTCTCAACAAACAAACGTGGAAGATCTAGAAAACCAGAGAAACTTGACAGATAAGAAGAGCACAGTGTCAGCCTGCTCTGATTTCCTGTTCTAAAGAAGCAGTTGGTGTTAGAGGGGAGACTCACTAATACTGTAGTCCTTACTGGTTTATTCTACACTGAAGTCCAAATACAAAATTAATCTGATTTATTCCTTGTAAACAGCAGTTACTTGGCAAATGTTTGTCCTTTGGTTTCACAAGATGGCTTTAACTGAAATTACTTGTCACTCTAAAAAGGGAGAGCTTGTTTCTCTTTCCCATTTATCTTCCCCACTCCCCCTGCTTTTCTTTGGTGCATGTCTTCCAGAATTTAAGGCAGAAATTAATTAGCTTTCTTTCAATTCTGCTAACAGATTTTGTTACAAACGCAAACTTGGATGCCAGAGTTATTTATTGTTGAAAAATCTGAACTTCACTGTGTGTTTCAAACAGTTATTACATTTGTGATAATATGTGCACATACTTTGCAATATCCAAGCTAATGTGGTACTTGTAAGATTCTAATATGCTGCAAATAAAAGGAATTTCTTCATCATCCCTGTTACAAAACCACAGCTACACACCTTTTTCCGAAGGGTGAAAACTATTGCGTAGTCATTGGGCTTGCTTTGTGTCTACACATTGAGGTGAGCTGTTAGCAGAGACACTTGGGGTTTACACAAGGGGTTTGGAGGGAGATGGAGGTAAAATTGGGTGGCATTCAGAGTAGTTGAGTGTAACACAGCCTGGATGAGCCTGTCAGGGAAAAGTTTGGGAGCCCCTGTTAAGGATTCTTCTTGACCAACCAGCCCCTTCTCCTCGTGTTTGCCAAAAGCAATTGGAAAGTTGATTTTAAAGTTCATTATAGATGCTATTTTCAAGTGGAAATCCGTATTTGACCAGGGTTGACCACTCACCTTGGATTTGTGGCTTGGCATAGACTTGACTGAAGAATTTCTTATATTGTGGGCAAGCTCCAGCTCTGGGTAGCTGTGGTAGTTAGTGAAAGCTTCATCAGCCAGTATGAAAAATTTTTAGGTTTAAGTTACCTGAAGGGAAAATCATCAGGGTTAACAGGTCACATACAGTTGCAGTTACACGGGCGCTACTTACATAGGCTCAGATATATTTGTTGGTTCAAAAGGAAAACTGGGATGGGAATGGCCATGCTGCCTTCAAGGCTTTAGCAGGCTCAGTTTTCTTGGAGTTATGTATCTATAACTATTTCTCATGTAATATATGCTCCCAACTAAGCTGGATGACCTCTCATAATGTCTAGGGGATTACTTTGAACTGAAACGTTAAAATCAATTGCCTTCTGAATCTTGTTTATGTCATACTGCTGTAAATTGGTAATAGGTCTCTGACTAGCTGTTTTTCTGCTTAAACTAAACAAAATGTGATGCCAGTCTGCCATGAACACATTCCATAACTAATTAAATAGAGCTCACTGGAAAATAAATGGGACATTAGAGACATTGGTACCACGTTGGTGCTCAAAAATGCTTTTAAAATGCATCATCTTTCACTTGGATAGATTAGAAGGTGCAATTTCTAGTGTTGCAGAGTTAGTGTATTTCAGGACAGTCCTGCCTGGTGCTTTCTCAAGTATTGAAAGAGGGATTAAAGATTTCTTTTTACTTACACTTTGCTTAATGTCTCCTTTTTTCTCTCTTTCAGGTGGCTCGTTATTGCAGTTGGTCTAGTTAGGGCATATCTGGCTAAAGGCAGCTACCACAGCCTTTACTATTCAATAGAAAAGCCCCTGAAATTCTTCCAAACTGGAGCTTTGCTTGAGGTGGGTGTAGTCTTATTCCCTGGCCTTACTAATACTTGCATCAATGTGTTGTATTTCTTATATTTACTTTAATTCTACTGAATAGCTCACACAAAAGCTGAGTTTTCCTTTTAGTAAGAGGGAGTTTTACTGTCTGTTATTTAGCTTGGGCAGCAGAGCTAAATATTAATCTTAATAATTGAAATGCAAATAGTGAATCTTAAGCACTTGTAACAGAGCTAAATGTGTGTCTGAATTGCTTAATTTGAAATGTTAGTGATTTGAATTTTTCTTTTTGTTCCAGATTCTGCACTGTGCACTTGGTAAGCTTGCAAATTTTCTGTTTACTATTTTATAGAAGACTGAACTTTTACCAATGTATTTGCAAGAAAAATGTTACAGTCTGTGAATTGCTGAATTTAATTTTTGCATAACTTAGTAATTTTTGTTTGAAATATCTTGCAGTTTTTTACTCCCTAATTTGAGAAGTCACAAAACATTAAAACAGTGCTCCAGCTCCTATCTGAATGTTCACTAGCCAGTACTTAAAGACTAAGATGGTGTTGAGGTTCCTAAAGCTGCAACTACAGACTTCTGTTTTTCATCATTGTCCGGACAGCCACATAATGGAGAGGTTATTGGGTCGTAGGTTCATAGTGAGTTTTGGGGATGTTCTAATAACCAAGTGAGGTGTTGGGAGAACTGGTGCTAGGAGTGTGTCAGCAGAGGGCAGTCTGGTTCTGTCTCACATTAAGTAGTGCTGGCCCGTCTGAATCATCCAGCTGCTCTGAAAATGTCTTAAGAAGGCAGTTCATAAACTGTGCACAGATCACCCCGAGAAATGAATTATCATATACCCCTCAAATTCATGTAAAGGCTACTCAGAGTAAACTGAGTGTGTCATCTGTTTGCCTGTGCTGCAAAGGCAATCCTTCCAATGCTGTTTAATTTTACTAAATCACAATTACTGTTTTTACGTTTTTTACCAGAATAAAACCATACATTTAAAAAAAACTTGTCAACAATTAATATTAAAATGTGCCATTTTAAGGTCTTATTTAACAAGTGTCAAGAAGGAGAAGTTAGATCTTGGAATACTGGAGAGAAAACCTTGCAGATAAAATGCTGGTTTCTCCATCTTAAATCCGTAATGATTTGCTGTTTTCTCAGTTGATTTGAGGTGTGGATCCATTTAGCCCATGTTATCCTTAGTAGCACAATTTAATATTAGATAGAGCCATTAGGGGAAAGTGGCAACATTTTATGCTGGTTTTATTCTTTTTGCTTTCCCTAACAAAACTCTTTTGCAAAAGACTGTTTTCTTTTAAGTGACTGTGGATTATATTTTTTTCTGTTAATGGAAGTGTTTGTCAGCTAAATAAATTGAGGGGGGTTTGCACAGCTGGATGCACTGCTGCTGTCTGCTGCAGTCCTACTGACTGTAGCAAAAGTTTCTATGCAAGGAGAAACAGGAAATTTGCAGATTCCTTTGCCCCTGCTGAACTAATTGCTCTAACTAGAGCTGTAATTCTCTGTCAATAGAAGAGCTTATGTGGGACAGATGGCTGTGTGTATCAGCATAACTTTTCTCTCCACATCTTTTCAGTAGAATCTGGAATGTTAGCATCTGTGAGGCAAGTCCTTCAAAATACAAGGATTGATAGGGGAGTGTCTCTGTGAAGCATGGCTGAGAACAGGATTTGACATGCAACAAAGGTTTAAAAAATGCAGAGCTGTACCTGGAAAGGAGGTAACAGGTAGCCCAGAGACCAAGACAGTGTGATAAAGCTGAAGAGAATTATATCTGTAGGATTTTCCTTTTCTCTCTCAAAGAAGCCAAACATATAAATTAAAATAATTAACTGAAACTTGCTTTTGACTTTTCTTACTCTCTCATCTTATTTCATTTTCCTCTTTGGTCCCTGCATATTTCTGAGGCTGTTGTGTTGCTTGTGGTTTGCATTAGCTTTACAAGCACTTTTTACTCTATCTTAGGAGCTACACCAGCAACTTATCATTTAGCTATTAGAAGAAAATAAAACTTTGGGATGCAAAGTTTAGAAGTTTTGTGTAATCTTGCAGTCTAAAACTATTCCTGCTCTGACAGACCTGGCTGTGTAGGGTCCTTTTACTACAGGTGAGTTGGCATCTCAGAACTTGCTGGAAAAGCCAGTGATATCTGCTTCCTTGAGAAAATCTTCAAGTTGCTTCTGTACCTTCCAGTGCATCAGCTGTTCCCTGGGATTTGTTTGGTTGGGTGGTTGGCTGGTTTGGTTTTTTTCTGAGTTGTATTTCCAGGAAGGAGCTACAAACTTTTCATCTATCAAAATATGGGCTAGATCAGTGGTTCTGAAAAATACTTACAATTTTTAATGTCTGGGGTTTTTTTTTTGAATATACAGTGCAAAACATATTATCTTTACTTTTTAAATCACAGTAATGAAGTATCTTGGAGTATCTTGGATATTTTAATCAAACAGGATTATTTGAAAGACTGTATCCCAGAAGCTGTTTGATTGAAATTATCTGATTGAGCTGTTCTGTGTATTGAGGAATGTGCTGTGATTGCAACAAGATCATTTGCTTGCATTTTGATGCAGAAAGCCTTGTCAGGGGATTGCACTGCATTATGCTGTATAAATACACTGAAGGACTAACTTCAGATTTTCAAATTAAAAAAAAAAAATTGAATGCTTTCCTTCCAGAAATTTCAAATAACTGGACTTTGGTTTAGCTGTGTTATATTTCCCCACCCCTACCTCCTACCTTGTTAATCAGGAATATTTACTAATTGCAAAATATCTTCCAGGCATTGTTCCCTCTTCTGTTGTTCTGACTGCTTTCCAAGTGATGTCAAGGGTTTTCCTGACGTGGGCAGTAACACATAGTGTAAAAGAGGTAAGTCAAGCTGCAAGTTGATAGAAAAGCTATTGATCCATGCTGAAAAGCAAGTGTTGATTGCTGTCTTATTGTCCTTAAAATGTCTTCTGTTTGTATCCCTCCATGGGAAATTGTTCATATGAATTTCTGTGGATCAAAAGAATTAAAAATAGATCTGATGTCATCTTTTGTTGACAGTCAAACAGAGCGAGGTCTGATTCTGTCCCTGTAAGACATCTAGCTCCTGGACAGATTCTGCAGTCCTTACTGACAGTTAAACAGCTTCCAGTGTGTAATACAGAACCCTGGATTTGGTACAGCCTTCCAGTGCCATAATGAAAAGCAAAATCTCATTGCCCTCCTGCATATGCAATTCACCTCCTGAGGCATCTGAAACTCCCCCTCAATTGTTTGTGCACAGCACTGCCTCCATGCTCTCCATTGTCACTCTTCAAGATAATCTTTCCTCTGTCCTTCATTCAATTTTCTTATACTCAAATGTAGGTAAATTTTGGGGGCTGAGTGTTTTTTCTCACTGCTCACCACAGCAGATAGTGCTGTACCTCATGCAGATCTCTTTAGATTCTTTTGGAAGCCATGTTTTTTGAAGCTTATTCCTGACAGCTGTTTTAAAATCTGGACATGCTTTAAGTGCTACAGGTTATGGTGACTGACTCGTGTCATCTGAATCCTTGTGGTATCCCAAATATGCTGCATCTGTTGTTAACTTTAGCCAACTAATCTTACTGGTTTTCTTCTCATTAAAGAAAGAAATTAGTCTTGATACCAGTGTCAGCATGGGTGCCTGAAATAAGTGACAGTCATGTTATACATAAGATTATTTGTGACTTGAATGGAGAATGTCTTAAGGAACTTGTCTTACTACAAAGTCTTGAGGGAAGCTGCTTTTCTCTTCCTTCCTCCAAACCTGCTATCAGAGCATCCATGCACATGTAGAGTAACATAAGTCACTGTAGTTCCTAGCAATTATCAGTCCTTTCTGGTACTGTGATGCTTGTTCATGTGAAGCCTTAGTTTCATGCTACTTAAAGTGGAGGAATGTTATTTTTCTCAATAAACAGAAAACCTGTTTTCTAATGGACTTCCCTGTTGGTGCAAATTAATGTACTCTGGTCTCTGTTAATTCACCAGAAATAAATAACTAGGTTTTGAACAAAAAACAAAACAAAACAAAACCATAATCTCAAGACATTAGCTTATATATATATGTATAAAATACTTAAAAATAAGTACTCTTGGAGTTTTGCTTGTTATCTATATGATGTTGGGATATGTGGTGCTTAGAATTATTCCATGTGTTGCCTGTTAGACATCAAAGAAAAACCTGTAATGTGATTGTGGGCTAGGTTTTTTTGAAGCTTTTGCCCACATTCTCACCAGAGAAAACTGGCAAAATGGGAGCAATGATATTAGCCAAATATTTGACTTTTTACAAGGATTCTTTCAACAATATTCCATGCAGATTTTTTTTTTCCCCCACACTTGTGTGGTCTCTGGTTAAAGTCTTGCAAGAGACTGTGTTATGTGTTACTTTTTTAATGTCTTAGAAAGTGGGTATAAGAATGGCTTGGATGAGGAACCCTGTGATGAGTTTCTGACCTGTGACTTAGAGCAAATAAATCAAATAAGAGGCTGTATTCTGACCCCTCCCCTTGCCCCAACCAGGGAGCCTGCAGGCTCACCTGGGGAGATGTATTGCAAGTGTCACAAGTGTTCTACTTTCTCTAAAGGGCTGTCTGCACAAGTGAGCTCCATGGTGAAGGCCAGGATTAAATTCTCACACAGCTTTATGGAACTTGTAAGCGATGCAGTTGCATGATGAGGTTCTTGTAAAATAAAATGCAGTTTTCCTCTTTAACTTTTTGAATGAGACTTGTTCAGTATCTTGCTTTTCCAGATTGTTTTCATATATAATACAGCTAAAAGAAGAAATGTGTATTGCATCCCTCCTTCTGTCAGGATACACTTCTAGAAATGTGATGTGATTTGAAGCATGCTTCTTGCCACTAACATGTTTGTGCTTTTTGTGGACTTCAGTGCTGATGTGTTGTTAAACTCAATATGAAATTATTCACAATAAATGTTAAAGCATGGCAAATGTTAAAGCACTGCACACAGAGATTCTCCTCACCTGCACTGTAGGAGCAGTTGCTGGTGTTGTGGAGGAGGGCCTGGCATGTCATCAGTGCTGGCCATTATGTCAGAAAGGAACCAGTTCAGTGAATTTTTTTGTTTCCCTGCAAAGGAGGGCAGAGAACGAGCAGCTGGTGTGAAGGGCTGGGAGAATGTAGGCACAGGAGAACAGGAAGTGCCCTTCAGCTCAAAAGATGTCTTTTAGAATTTGTGTGAGCAATGAGATCATCTGGTGACATCATGACAGTCCTTCGTGGAGTTCCATTCTGATAGATAACTGCACCCAGTTCTGATGGGTAATTAAAAATTGTGTCAGCAGGCATTTATTGCTTATCCCATTGGGCTCAGTTACAGATGAGTTGCAAATAAGTGTAATATATATGTAGAGGATCTTTTGTAGACCACACAGGCAAGATATGCTGTGAAAACAACATTTAAAGCATGTAGAGTTGGTAATTGGGACTCTAGTATCTGCAGTGGGGAATTGATATCTTCAATCAGTAGTAAAACATACTTAAAAGAGGGAAGAACATCTTATGCTATTTAGGATTAAGATGTAGTAAAAAGTCCATGATGGAAGGGTCAGAAGTCTGAATGGCTGAGTACAGTTGAAAAACCTGACTCATCACTGCTTTACATCTATGTAAAATTAGAGTAATACCATACAACACAATAGTCTGTCAGGCCCTTATGTGCCTACTATGAAGTTTCCTTTTTTTCCCCCTGAATTTTATGTTTTATTTTTTAATTACTGCACCAGAGAACCAGCTCTTTAGAGAGAGACATGCTGTTCCAATATTTTCCATCATTACACTTGCATAGTGCTGCTGGTTTTGCTCTTCTGCATTGGATTGCTTAATTATGTGTTTAGCTGAAATTTTCTGCAAATTTGTCAAACTGTTACTCTTAATGTAGAGAAATTTCCCTTTCCAATCTTAAGGAGAACATTAAAAACCTCTCACGCTTTATTTTGTCAACTCCCAGTTCTCATCTTTGCATCTTAAAAGACAGTGGTTTCTTTTATGTTTTAGCAAACATTGTCTGATATTTATGGTGTTTAAGAAAAGCTGAAATATATTCAGGACCCTCCTTGATGATATGTTGGCTTGAAGCACATGCCAAAAAATTATGCCTGTTGTTTGATTGACCTGTATTAAGAGAGTTGGATAAATAAGGTGTAGATAAAGTTGAGTTGTGTCTAAGACTTCCTTGAAAGACTGGCATGAGGAAGGTAGTGGAAGAAGAATTGAATTCTCAGGGAGCATTGGCCTTAGTGGTTCATTGAAGGTCTGCTGTGTATTTGCCCTGTTTTCAGCCTGAAGGAGGAATGATGCAAATGCAGCATTAGCAGTGGCTGAAAGAGTAAGACTCCTGAAAAATTGTTTTTCCTTAGAGAGGGACACAAGCTATGAAGGCACAATCAGTGATTCTTAAAGTGACCTAAGAGGGTTGTGTGTTTCATAATGGTGTGAACTGTTTTAATAAGTTATAATACAAAGGAGAGGGGGGAGACCAGACCTTGGAGGCAGTGTTAGAACTGGACTGGAATTTTCTACTTCCATGCGTATGATTCACTGTTGGTGTCCCAGTTTCTTGTCCTTTCTCATATCCTTGGATCCTACTTCAAGCTGCAAACTTTTGGGTTTTGACTTTTCCCATTTCCACAGCTAGGGAAAGAAGTGGGGTTTAAAGCACAGGTTGAAGCTGGGACTCACAGGTTTAGGTGAACTCATCACTAAGCTGCTACTCCCAATTTGGCCAGAAGATGCAGCTCTGGAGTGCTTGTCAAGCACGTTCCTTCTTTGGAGCAGCAGCATCTGGGAAGTGCTGTTCACTTTTCCCTCTTGAGAACTAAGTGTTGCTTATAAAGCAGACCTTAAACAGGATTAGGATCCTGCAGCAATATGGATTTGGTCTCTTCTCTGAAAATCTTCAAATAATTTTTGGATTTTGCTCTTTTATGGTGATGTAAGGGAGATTAACATATAAACAAATTATGGGAAAAGAATAAGGTGCTTTTGCTGCAAAATGCAGTGAAAGTGACCTGAAATGTTACACGCTGCAGAACATAGATTTACAGCACTATACAGATTACCAGCAGCTCTGCATTCCAGGATTGCTCAAGATTTCTGTATAAATTTTTCTGGGTTTTGCAGTCTGTAACAAAGCTTTTATTGGGTAATTCCCTTGGAAGAAAATTCCCCTTTTTTACCCAAAAGTATATGATCAGTGTCCTCCTATTAAGAAGTTTCGGATTGTCCATATATGTATATACATTCTTGATCCTTTTTTTTTTCTGTTGGCTTGTACTTTCCCCAAGATGAATAGAGTGCACCACCCACATCTCCTGACTTCCTTTTCCCGTTTTTCAAGAGTTGGAGGAAAGAGAAACAAGAGAAAATGTGGGCCTCTGTGGTTGATTTATTTTCGTTCCCACTGTCCACTGAATTTGGGCTCAAGGTGCTCATACAGCTGGGAATTCTGTTGATGAGGGGAGAGAGGGAGAAGGCTGAATTAAAATCATGTCTGATCCCTCAAGAGTTTGTGTCCTCACATATACTTGAGATCCTTCAGGAACTTGAATATCATAATGATGCTCCATAATCTAATAAATATAACTCTTCATTTTAAAGTACATGCTTTTGAGGATTGACCTTATAAATGTCACAGATAAAGGCAGTTCATTAGAGAATATTTTGAGCTTAAAGGGACCCACAAGGATCATTGAGTCCAACTCCTAATTTATCCCATCCAGGGATCAAGCCCACAAGCTTGGCATTATTAGCACCATGCTCAGACCAGCTGAGCTGATCTCAGGGTTAAAATGTGGAGGGAGCTACAGCTGCTTCACTGATGTGTGAGTGACATAAAAGCTCCAAGAGTTGTAAAGCAGTGAAACATGATACTGCCTTGAGTGTAACATCAGAGGAATTATGCTACTTGCAATAAGCAGAAAATGGAGCAAGGAATAGTCAGTCAGGCGCCTGTCAGGCTTACCTGAGGTGAGACAATCTGAGCATGGTTCTTCTCTCCTCCCAACCTGATGTTAGCTGTTTTGCTGCTGCTCAAAAGTAGGACCCAGTTTCTGACCAGAAAAAGGAAAATAGTGCTTCTACTCAGAAGCACCATGAGCTGGTATCAGAATATTAAGTGTAAACCAAGTAGCAAGTGTTAGGCCATTCTTTCTGCACAGGAGACAGTCATAGGACTGAAATAGAAGCTGGTACTCTCTAGGAATGGAAGAGTTAAGAATTATGCTCAGCATTTCAGGGGTTTCTTGTACCAATTTACCTTGCACAGAATATGAGAGCTGAAGTTATCTGATCATGAAGCAGAGCCATTCTTAAGCAACTAGAAAAATACAGAGCACGATAAGAAGGGTTTTTTACTGTTGTTACTAATGTTGCTTTTAAGCTCATTCTTGGAGTCTGTTCTCTAAAATGATGCAGTAAGGTAACCTACAGGAATTGACTTCTGTGAGGCTTTCTTGGGTCTGGTGAGTAACTGGGAATGCTCAAGCTCATACAAAGCCTTTTTTCCGTTCTCACAGGTACAAAGTGAAGACAGTGTCCTCTTGTTTGTAGTGGCCTGGACAATCACCGAGATAATCCGTTATTCTTTTTACACCTTTAGCTTGTTAAACCATCTCCCTTATCTCATCAAATGGGCCAGGTCGGTAGTATCATAAAAGTTACAGCCTTAAAGCACTGATCTGACAGGGATATTTATCTTGTAAAGTAGTTGCAGTGCAAAAAAATTAGATTCTGCCTTCACGTAATTGCCCTGTTTGTGATGCCCTGTTTGTGAACGTGACTGCCTAGCTTCTTTCCAGCAGATTTTCGGGTTACAAAAATCTATTGCATTGCAAGCTGAAAGAGTCATTTGTCTGAACTCATTTTCAAAATAATTGTTTGTCAGAAACTGATATGTAACAGTAGGGGATGACAGTAAATAAACTGACATTTAGCAGTAATTCTTGAATCCAGTGGTTGTCCTTGAAATAATATTTAAGCTCATTGATTAACATCAACTATATTTGGCCCTGTTTTAAGTAGTAAAATGACTTCTACCAAAGAGTTCAGAAATCAAATAAACAAAGTGTGTATGTGTGGAGAATAGTTTTAAAGATAATTTGTAGATTCTCAGATAAAATCTTTAAATATTTCCAAATGATTGCTGATTTGAATACTTACCTTGCAATAGTGTTCATACCTTGCCATGTTCTAATCAAATAAGATCTAAGAAAAATAAATACTGAGTGGGGAATTCAAATGTTGAATATCTGTAATATCATTTAACAAATATTTAGTCAGAGTTTGTAATAACTTAATTCTTTCTGTGTTTCATTCTAGGTACACTTTGTTTATAGTGTTGTATCCAATGGGAGTCTCAGGTGAATTACTCACAATATATGCTGCACTACCCTTCGTCAGGCAGTCTGGCTTGTATTCCATTAGTTTACCTAACAAGTACAATTTTTCATTTGACTACTATACATTCCTGATCCTGGTCATGATCTCTTACATTCCAAGTAAGTATGAGTTTGTTAGTTTTCTTAGTATTAACAGCTGTACTGGGAAAAGCAAACAACTGTGGGATTAACATACATGGAAGTAACCAATCTAGCCTGCTGATGACCTTGTTTAATTTTTGCATGGTTCACAAAGGTTTCTCATGGAAATTTCAGCTTTTGGTGTTTGTATATGTATGTTTGCCTCCCCCTCCTTTGTTGTTTTGCAAACATACTGTTTACCATAGTTTTAAAAATAAAAAGAGAAAAAGCTCTGGATAGAGAGAGATGAAAGAGGCACTGATGTGTATAAAATGCCTTAGAGTCTGAAAAAGTGACACTAGAATTACAAAAAATTCAAACAAATCTGGAAATTTCTCTTGAAGGACTTTTTCTGCCCTGCAGTCTGTTTGTGTTGTGTGCATGCAGTTATGGCAACATTTGTCATCTGCTTCAACATTTAGAGTTAAATAAGGCATTTTGCATTTTATTAAAAAGGTGATTGCTCTAGCAGAAAAATTAATAGTACCTGCAGCCTAAGAACAATATCAGTTCATCTCTTTAGAGTGTAAAAAGCAATAGATAACTTAAGCAAAAAGTGGATCAGCAGATCCTCTAATAGAAATTTGGTGACCTTGACCATGTGACAGTGCATCTTGCAGGCCTCTCTTCACACTTTACTGACTTGAGTCTGTTTTCTCCTCAGTCTTCCCTCAGCTCTATTTCCACATGCTGCATCAGAGGCGAAAGGTGCTCTCCCACTCTGAAGAGCATAAGAAGTCGGAGTAATTCCAACTCCTTTTCAGAACTTTTCAAACATCAAAATGCTGCAGTTTTTCAATACCCAGCACATTTGTAAAGAGTATATCAAGATAAGTCAGAGGTAAAAGACCAATAATTTAGCAAGAATAACTAATAAATCTGATTTCAGTGAAATTCCAGGATGTCAAACATTGAAATAATTTTCAGCTTGCATTGCTTCAGAAAACTTAAAACTTTATATGGCTTGGCAGTTAACCTTTTCCTGAAATGACGTGCTAAATGGTTTTCATTTATTACTAAATGCCTGAAGGTTGCAGTATGAGTGATGAAGTTGTACCCACTAAATGCCTGAATTGGGATTATATTACTGATACCTCTTTTTTTAAGTGCTTGACTGCATGCCAGAAACTGTATGTATTGCTGTGAAAGCAAACAGTATGCTCTGGAATACTTCAGGATAATGTCAGAGACTTCAGTGGAGAATGTAATCTGGGCAAAGTATTTGACTTTAGAAAGGTAGGTTGTGTATTTAAAAGGTGATGGGAACAAGAACAAGAAACCAATTACGGAAAATGAGGGGAATGTGGTTCTTTAGGAATTTAAACAGTGCAGTGTCTGACCAGAGTGTGCTCTCTGAAGATCTTGTATAAGCTGATCACTCAAATGCTAATATTAATTCAGAGGCTGTAATTCTTATCTGAAACATTAAAACTACCCCAAGTACTGCATCACTGAATACTTTTTTACATATTAAAAAAATTAATACTAACTGTAATACTTTAGTGGTATCAGTAATGAATCTAAATATAAGGAGGTAGTTCACCCAGAAAGAGGTGCAGTTCTCCCTTTTTTACTACAACTTTTTGTCTCTAGTCATTGTCTGTGATACTCATCTTTCAGTCTGAGGTCTACTTGGTCTGCTGTGTTTGGGGGCTCTGTTCCTTAGCCTGACTTTTCTCAAGTGACTGAGGTCATCACTCTGGCACATCCAAGCAGGCAGTTCCAGGCACTCAACTTCTGAAGTGAAAGTCATAATCTGCTCCTTGCAGAGCAAATTATTTCATTTGTTACATGCTGCCTTTGCATGTAGGACAAGCCACCCTCGTCTGCTCTTTGGAAAGAGTGGAAGACCACAAGAAGTTATATTCTCCTAGGTGCTTTCTCTGAGTTGTCAGGCTTGTTGGGAGGCTGAAAGGAAAATGAAGGAGCTGAGAAAGCCTTGTGGTGAGGCAGAAAGCACTAGTGCTGTGTGAGCTGTGCCCCAAGCCTAGAAGAAATTTCTGATGGGGAGTAACAGGGTGGAGAATGAAGGGAACAAAAGGAGAAGGGAAATGAATGGATATCCAGGCAGAGACAAAAGCAAATGTAGGTTATGGCTTTGCTCTGTTAGGAATTGATGGCCAAATAGTCCTGTCTGCATGCAGTCACAGTCACTAGACAAGACCATGTGGGCCTCCCTGGCTTCCCTCTGGTGTGATTCAGTGCATAGATGAGGTGTGACCGCTTTCCATGCTGCCTGCAGCGCTGCCTCATGCTCTGCCTGCCAGCACCTCCCCTGGCCTGGTTGTGTTTGACACATCCCAGCTCTTCTAAACACAGCTGGGAAGTACTGAGGACACAGGCTCTCTGTTCTAGCAGTTGGGAAGAGCTGGATTTACAGTTATTCAGATTTATGCTTGTCAGAGCAGTATTTAAAAAAGACCAAAACCTTGTCATTTTTCAGTAATTTTCTTTGGCTCCATCAAAAGGACTGAATTTTCCTATCTCTGACTATATAGAGCCTTTCCTGTTCAACACAAACAGGATTATTATAAGCAGAGAAAGGACAAGAGACAATAATAATCTTTGCTTCTATTTTCAGCATTTTGGAGCCAGTTACTGACTGGATTATAAAACACAGGAGGTTGTAGCAAGTTGGGTGTTGGTCTTTTTCCCCCAAGTTACAAGCAATAGGACTAGAGCATATGCCTCTTCTTGTGCCAAGGAAGATCTAGATGGGGTATTAAGGGAAATTTCTTCATGGAAAGGATTGCCAAGCATTGGAACAAGCTGCCCAGGGAAGTGATAGAGTCACCATCCTTGAAGGTATTTAAAATACCTGAAGATGTGGTGCATAAGGACATGGTTTACTGGGATTTTGCAGTGTTAGGATAATGGTTGGACTCAATCTCAGAGGTCTTTTCCAACCCAAACAATTCTGTGATTCTATTACTATGGCCATGTACAACCTCAAAATGGTTTTGGATTCAAAGATGCAACAATTCAATTAATTTCTATATTAGATTATACGCTTTGTTGTAGTGATCTGAGAAATGTTACATTATTCTGAAGTCATTGTTTGAAAGTGTGAACTTCCACCTCTGAACAAAACATCTCCTTTTGCTTATACTTGCTATTAAAGAAGTTAATGTCAGTATTTCTGAAGGATGTCATCTAAAAGATTTGATTTCCTGATGTACTTAGGTTACTGGATATTGTCAATGCTCAGCTCCTGAACTTTTCTTAATTTGATTTCTGTGCCCAAGTAAAAGATTAGGTTTCAAATTTGTTGGTCCAATTTGGAGATAAAAAAATGGTTGTGTAATACTCCTGCATGAGACAAACCCCTGGCTCTGTTGATGAGAAAGATACAGTACAGATCTACAACAGATAGCACTGGCAGCATGGAAAACAGAGAAGCTGCCAGTAGGGAGAAAACTTCTACAACCAACACCTTTGCTGAGCAGGCTTTATGATGGAATATTTACTTTAATTGAAAGTATCCATTTATGACAAAAATGCAAATAAACTATGGCCTTTTAAAAGAAAATTGAGTTACTTTTCCTTTCAAAAGAAAAAGAGGTTGCTTTCACAGTAAGAATTCTTACCAGCAAAGCTGATTTATAAATTATATTTGGAAGTCTGAACGTGCAGTTAATATGTACAAAAATTCAGTGCTTCATGTTGCAGTGCTTTTTCAAGTTTAACTTCCATGGAAATCACTGGAAGCTGATCTTGGGAGAGAACTGTAGTGTGATGCCCTAAAACTGTTTGGGTTGTTCCCTAATACTGATTTTGCTGACACATGTGGGGCATCTTCTCCTCATAAAAGAAGAAGTTTCCCCTCATCTGTCACTGAAATTGCCGTGTGGTTTCTGTGAGCTCTATAATAGAAGCTTTGATTGGTGCTGTGTCACAAATGGGTTTATTTCCCCCCAGACTGTTTACTTGGCTTGCATGTTCTCTGTCAGCCTCTCCAAAGCAGCAGCCCCCCTGCTTTGGTGCTCTCTTGTGTGCACTGGTTCAGCTGACAGCACTTTTTGTTCTACCATGCCAGCTCTGAGTTAGTCACTACCCTCCAAAAGACCAAGGTTTTCACCAGTGTGTTTACAACTGGAATTGTAGAAATGTTCATATTTGTAAATTACAGTAAGAATGCAGGTTACAGTGCAGAAATATTGTAATTTTTCACAATGTGATGTTTTTATCAGAGGGTTTTTTTCTTATCGTTATGAAGGTTGGCATTTGTGTGGACCAATCTGCAGTGTCATTTTAAAACTTATCTTTCAGCTTAAAATTTTCATGAGTATACATCAAATATACATATTTTGATGTATATGTCAGTGAAACTTGGGTGAAAACTATATACAGTCATTTTTGTATTTTTTTCTATGTTGTGAAGAATAAAATTGTAATTTTATAAGTCTGATTCACTAAGATTATTATAATTTAAATGTATTTTTTGTATATTTAGGAATCTGGTATTACCTGGAGCTCTGAAAGACTTAAGCATAGAATTTTTATGCATGGTTGAAAGATATTTCAACTTGATAATGCAGTGAAATGGTTTGTATGCTAAAATACTAGTCCGTGTTGTTGCCTTGTGCAGTTGATTCTGTGCTCTCTGCCTGGATTTGGCCTACTGAACAGTGATACTAATTGCTATAATCCAAATAAAATACTTCTGAACAAAATACGTTGTATTGTTACTGTTTAAGGAACAAAAGCAGATATTTTACAAGTGTGAGTTAGGGTTGTATTTTTATTCATTTGTACACAATGTATCTCTTTTAATTTACAAGTTCTTTTAGCATATGTAAATCTGGAGCTCAGACAAAACAAATAAGAAACTTCATACTGTTACATGCTCTGCTTTCCACATTCAAAAGAAGTGCTCATAACAACACCTTGGCTGACTGTGCCAACACTCAGAACTCCCTGAAGGATCCTCAACTGAGTGTGAGCTCTTTGTTTTCCTGCTGTTATCTGTACTCTGGATGCTGATGGTTGCCTTCAAAAACAAAATTGAGTATTATAAATATAGTGGAATGCTTAACTAATGCAACAGAATTCTTCAGAGTTCATTTACTAAATATAATGTGTCTGCTACCACGGCAACGTTTTTAGCATTTTTAACACTTCCTGAGAGAGATTTAAAAACTGTGTCTAGATGACATTAATGCCCATAAATAACAAGTTATAATCCTCTAAAAGGAACTGAGTGGTGGCTGCAGAGTGAGTGCTATTATTCTAGGCATATGCTTGTCATAAGATTGCACAACTACAGTGATTTTTTTGTTGACTGAGATGGGATGAAATGGTGTTGTCATCCCCAGCATCAGCACATGTCCTACGCATGATGGCTGTGACTTAGCACTGCTGTGTAATTAAAAACTTAGAAATGCTGTGCTGTGGAGAGGTGCTGGGCTCTGTTTGTGCCTTACAGGAACTGTCACTGGCTATTTGTGTTTCCTCTCTGCATTTTGAAAACTGTGTGTGGAAGCAATTGTAGTTCCCTAGGGTAACAGTAAAGAGTCTGAAAAGCATAAGGATTCTGTGGTTGTCAGCAAGTCAATGTCACAACAATGTGTAAGGCTCATCTTAAAGCATTGGCAGTTCTTGATATAAGACTAGAGGAGGGATCTGTTCTGGGCTGCTGAATATAAAATAAAAAGGTGTGAATATCTGTGTGATTCAGTTTCATGTGATGTGAACTGAGCATTTCTACAGTGGGGAGTGATTGATTCAAGCCACCCTCCTGCCTGGAACTTCCATTCAGTATCAAGTGGCTTTTAAATTCTGCTTCCTGACTCCTAAACAAATGCTCCTCCACACTTGTCAGAAGACTTACAGTAGTAAGATAATTAATTAAGCTTCTTAAGTAGTTTCTGAAGGCTGCCTTTGAAGTAGTTGCAATTTCAAATGTGGATTAAAAATTTGTAACTATTTTAATAATCTTGATCACTAATTTCCAGAATAATATTTTCCTTTACAGCTGTGCAAGATCCTAAGGCTCTTTTTAAGGCCTCTCAAGTTAGCTTGGGCATTAGTGTTACCAGAGGTTTTTCTCTTTGATGTGCCACAGCTGCCTCTCTCTAGATTCAGTTTATTCTGTGCAGTCTGTACATAGAAATTTTACATTACCTGGTACTACATGAGGATGTTATTATTGGGAAATTCTTTGGGGAAGTTTTTGCCGAGGTTTGTTCAGCTGAATTGTGAGCAGTGAACTGCATTTTGTCCTGTGTTTTTGACTCCTGGTACAGACAGTCTGCAGAGTCTTCTATGAACTGTAACCACTTGCAGCAAGCATACATTAAAAACTTCAGTATTGGCATTTTCTAGTTTGAGCACCAGAACTTGTAGCATGCCCACAAAAACCATCAGCTGTGGAGAGTATATAGGAAGTGGAGAACCCTCCAATCAGCCTGGCAATAGATGGCTTTTATGAACTCAGTTTGCCATTTAAAGGTTTCTTTGGGTAAAATGCATCCTCTTCACTTACTGGATAAGAAAAGATAATGAGTACTGGTCTCTGCTTAATGACCATCCATAAAATTATGAGATGGAAGAGGAGAGGTACTGGAGGTTACAGAGCTCTACCACTGTGTTTCCCAAAGAATATTTGGGCATTGATGAAACATGAAACTTTCTTCCTGTTCCCTTTGGAATCCAGTAGTTGTTGTTTTTCTTTGGGGTGAGGGTGGTGTATTTGGTTTTGGGTTTTGGGAGGGATTTTTGTTTGTTTATTAAGACAGAACAGCAGCACTTAATGGAGATGCTGCAATGTTTAGTCTAGTGTGCTGATGACATGAAGTTTGTTTTATTTTCCTCCAGGTGTTTATTACAAGACTACAAGGAACTGGATGCACTGAGTTAGGTGCTTTGTTTTAGTCCTCCATTCCTGTGTATGAACCACTGCTGGGAAAGTTGCTGGTTTGAAAGTATCAAATGAGTTTCCTTACACAGCTTTTTGGTGCAATTTAAATTAAGTAAATAAAGCACTTTGTTAGCAAACTGGAACAGTGGAAAAAGCTGTCTTGCATTCAGCAAGAAAATGGATGTGAAATTGAAAGTCAGACATTGCTGGTTAGTTTTGTTAGTAAGAGTGGGTACTGTTACTCAGTAACTAGTTACTAAGTAAGAGAGTTGATACTCTTACAGCCCTTTAGCTGAAGCAAACCCTGCAGTCTGAAAGTTCTGAGTTATTCTTCAAAAGGTATTGTCAAGTCAGACAAAGTGTATAACCCGCTCTAGGCTTACAGGTGTGTTCAGACAAGGGCCAGATGTAAGCATTCCTGGGCTGCTGTGCTCCAGCTTCCTGCTGATGCATGACTGCCGATGAGGCCTCAGCACACTGGATTTTGAAGAAATAAACTGCTGACAGAAGGGTGTAAAACTCCTTCAGAAAGATGTAAAACTCCTACTGTTGTGCTCTGAGCTTTGTGCAGCCTCCAGGAGTCCACTCGTACAGACATTTCAGTCCTGTTCATTGCTTTGCTGCTTTCCAAAGGTGAGCAGGTAAATCTGCCACAGTTAACAAATGAGCTGCTGCGTTCACATTCTGTGTCAAAAACTGGAATCCTTGGTTGTTTTCTTCTTAATGTCAGGATTGTGTCAAATCCCTGGAATGACCACATGAATTGTGTGCATTATGGTGAATTTCATGATGCCATCCTCCTATACTGTAAATGTGCACATGGAGATCTGTAGCCCAGCTTTGCTTGGACTAAACAGCATGGGCATGCAGGATATTTTATTTCTACATTTAGGGTAAAATATGGGTGCTGCTGTGAAAACACTCATAAATGTGATTCAGTATCCCTAAAAAAACCCAGAAGTCAGTAATGAGTCAGATTGTTTTGGGTTGGGCTTTTTGTTTATTTTTTAAGTCACTGTGGTTTTGTTTTTTCACTATTTTCTCACTTCTGGTTCTATTCCTTTTGAATCATGAGATCACTGGGAGAGGGGTGGTGTGGAGCAAGAGAATTTGTAACAGCAGCTTGTTCAGTTTGAGTATTTCATGGCTCCAGGCTGGACTGTGTGATTATCTCTTGGTTTCACAGGGCTGCTTTGGATATTCTAACATTGTGAATTTAATGCTTCCACAAGTCTTGGAGTGCATGAAGACCATGAAGAGTAAAATGTGACACAGACGTTCTGAGGTCACTGTCTACTTGGTATTCCCCATTTAAAGTAAATAATGGAAAGAAAGAATGCTAATGTATGTCTACTGCACCTGTCGTAATAATAATAAAGTAAAAAATGTTTTTATACAAATTATGAGACTGCATGTGAAACCAGAATTTATGTGAACCTGTGTGTTGAAGTTTAGATCTGCCACAGTAGCTCTCTGTTGACTCCCTCATGGCTTCCTGAAGGTTCTTGAGAAGGTGAAATCATTTGAGTGATTTTGCCAGTGTTTTCTAAATCTTCCATGTGTTTACTTTCATTTAGGTGTTATTTTAACCAGATAAATACTTTCTGAAAAAGAGGCATGGTTCAATTTTAATCCAGAATTTTATTAAGATATTATTGAAGATTTTATTAAGATATTACTGAATTGATTTTTGCCCAAATACCCTACCACAAAGAATTAAAAAAAAAGAAGAAAAAGAAAAGCTTTTATGATGGGACAGGTAGAATTTGTGAAGGCTGGGCTAGACTGGAAGATGCAACATTAACCTTTCAGGATAAGGAATAGGAAGTTTGTTTTTCTACGCAGTATTGTAGTATTTGTATTTGTTGATCTCTGAACAAAGTAAATATTCTCATTTTATATGGACTTATATGCAAAGCACATTTGTATTGATTAAGGTCATAATTTGTACATAGCCATGTTGGGACTGAGATACAGAAGCTCCTCAGTTCTACACTCATCCATCAGAAAATGGCTGGGCTTCATTGTGATAGAAAAAGGCAACTCCTATCTATGTATAATTCATTAACAAAGTATGATTGCCTGAATGTTCTTGTAGTAAGTGCTAGGCTTTTTAAAATGACTTCACAGCCACCCAGGATATGCAGTGTTTTGCTTTCATGCATAACTTTTTTGGGTGAGACAAACATTTTATCTTACTGCCATTTGTCATGAGGTTCCTGAATTAGAAACGAGAGGCAGGGCTTGAAGAAGCTGCATGTTAGAAGGAAAGCTGTAGATCAGCTGTCTGTGTGATGGTCTGTATCCTTAACATTAAAATATCCTGCTTGTTGCCTTGGTTCTACTACTGCTCTATGTCATCCAGTAACATCATCAGCTGGAAGTGGGCATTAAAGATTTTTACTATCCATGTGGAATCTTCTGTCTTTGTCATAGCCCTGTATGTCCTCATTGTGTGAGGTGCCTCTTTAGTTGGTGCTACTCGTGGCTTCTGAGACACTTTTTGGCTTCTTAACATTTTTGTTGTTTTCACAAGTTACAGATTTTCTGCACAATCTCTTCCAAATGCTTCTTTACCCCTCTTTAAACTCAACACCTCGTATTTATCCACATGTTTTTAAAGTTAGAAACTTTTGGTTGAAGACTTGTTTTCCCCTATAGCAAGGACAAAACTTTTTTCCCCTCTGGCCGATTTTTTTAAATTGATTAAGCATCAATTCTTATGATATTACAGAAAAGCAAAACTGTATGTCATACAAAATGGCATAGTGGGAAAAAAAAAAAACCCCATGAATGATACTCTGGAATTG